TGAAGAATAAGGTGGCTAATAATAGCTACACACATATTAGAAAGTTTCTGTCAAAATCTTCTATGAAGGGCTGGGAATACTTCTGATAAAATTTTCAGTTTAAAGAAGCACTTTAATTCACTTTTATAATAGCTTTGTCTCCTAAAAGATGCATTGCAATTGTCATCATGGCTTTTGCAATGCTTATAGAATCAGGGAGGCTGTGTATTAAAAACAAGATCTGATTTCTCTACTTTGAGCTCCATTAGATAGGTATAAACAAATGATATGAGAAGTCAAATCCCTGGGGCAGGAGAAATTGTGTGTGTGTGTGTGTGTGTGTGTGTGTGTGTGTGTGTGCATGTGTGTGTGTATGTATATATATATATACATACACACACACATACTATTTCTTTAACATGAAAGCAATGTTTCAAATGTTTCTAGAATTATATCATTTTGTTAGTTTTTCAAAATTCATATCTCACCTTTTTCTCTAAAGTAGGTATCAGATCCACCAAGGAAATAAGTAAACAAAAATCCACAGAAAGACAAACAGGGGCATAGGAAAGAGTTTGCTTTTGAACTTCCTGGCAGTGAGCCACAGAATTGGAGATATTAAGTTGTACACTGCTGATGATAGTAAGAAGAGATGAAAGCACTACCCTATTTCCTCATGGAAATAAAGTACTACTCTATTTCCTCATGAGAATTTTTTTTTAATTGCACTGAGTTCTAAAGAAGTTTCCAAAATGAGATCTTTCACAGTGGATATTTAATAGTTTAATAGGCAATATCCTTGACAAAATTTTATAAAATGTTTCATGAGTTTTTCTGCAAATAAAAAAGTCAATCACATAATAATAAAAACTAGGTAATTTCTCAGGAAGCTGAGGTTTTTGCATTCAAATATCTAGGTTACTTGGTCCAACTGGGTAGAATGGCAAAATTTGGGATATAAGAGGAAAAATGGACTGAAAATCTCTCATACTATATCTCCCCTAAATATTTCTCAGTGTTACAGAAATACAAGTATACAAGTAAACATATGYAGCAGTGTCTCTGTTCAAATTTAGGAAACAAATGAGAGAAATTGTATCACATAACACAGAGGAGGATCCTCAGTAGGGTCCAACCCTACCTTCTTCATAAAGCTTTGTTTTTATCATGTTTTCTATTATAGCTGCTATTGAATTGAAGATCAAGGCACTTTGGAGAAAGACATTTCTGATTTGGAATAATCAACAATTATTCTTCAGAGAAGTAGCTGAAGTAATTTGAGAGTGAAAGCCACACAACAGAATCAATAACAATCTGATACACAGTATTTATTTAAAGTTTAATTTAATGGCTACTTAACTCATTGGGTTCCTACACTCCATTGAGAACCCTGAGAGTACTCTGGATCAAACTTATTAAATTTATTTTTCACTAAGTATGCCCTTCTGCACCCAACAMTGAAGACTGTATGATGAGACTGGTAATAGTAAATTGGTGAAAATGTGAAGAAAAGAATCATAATATAGTTATTCCACTTCATGCATTATAGAGACTATTTGGAGCATGACATAGAAAGTTTTGGGGCTTAAGCAATTGAAACCTGTGAGGTTTTCATAATCCCAGTGAAATAAAAATGAATAAATGCATATTCCAATGTTTATATGAATTCAGTGAAGCCAATTAAAAGTATTTGTGTTGGCATGTAAATTCATTAGGGATAATGTAGAATAATTAAATATAAATAGATTTTTGTTTTAACAATGCTGAAAAGCAAAGTCAATGCTGAGATTCTCAAGTATATTACTGACAGGTTGTGAAGATAAACCACTTCCATGAAAATCTGGTTTTGAATTTCTTAAAGTCAGGAAACATAATCTAATATTTCTGTGTTGCCCTCTGTTTAGTCTTCTGTCCTTAGGGATCTAAGTAACTGGAAGAGCTAAGCTTGTTGGATGCCATTTTTTTCTTTTTATCAACTCATAATTCTCTCCTAAATAAGCCTACACTTTACAATCACATTTTAGAGATATACAAAAGACTCCATTGCCTTGTTACATATTTCAGAATAATATGCATTTAAAAATAATCACACACTTTACATAAGGAAATATTGTTGTTTAACGTTGTTTCAATTATTTTAAATGACAGTCCTGAATGTTACCTTATATTATACTTAAAATTTATGGGAATGCTGGGCATGGTGGCACATACCCTAATCCCAGCTACTGATGAGGATGAGGCAAAAGGATTGCAAATTCAAGATCAGCCTGGGTAACTTAGTGAGACCCTGTTTCAAAATAAACAATAAACAGATAGGGGAAGTACCTCAGTTGTAGAGCATTTCTAGGTTTATTTTGAGCACTCCCAAAATAAATAGATAAAATAAAAATTATGGGCACAATATTATTTCATGTGAAATATTTAGTTTTAATTGCTACCTTCACTAGCCATGCCTTTTCCTATCGTTTTGGATAAGGATGAGTACTCAAAATGACACAAAATCCTACCCACACTCTGTGACAATGAAACAATACATAAAACATTAAAATTTTGACCTGTGTTTCTGTGGTCTTTGTATGTGTCTCCCAAAGGCACACATGTTGAAGTTTTGATCTTTTGGTTACATAAAACCTTGCATTACTACTTAAGCATCTCATTTCACAAAACTGTTACCTCAACACATCATGATGATCAGAAAGCATGCTATGCTTTCCTAAATAATTAGTCAGACATACATTTTTCCTTATTAGTTTCTATAATTCTATGTACATATACACATACTGAGTAAGTGAACAAATGAATGAATGAACATTATTAGAAGTCAAATACTCTATTGTTTCTTTACAGAATATTTATATCAAGATTAGTCTGTAAAACTTTTTGACTTTGTATGAGTCTCAACTTTTTGTCCTTCTCTATGCAGAGCACAAGGTTTATACCAAATAGATGCCCATGTTAAAGTACAATGGATAAAAATGGCAATTAATTTTAAAAAATGGTTAAATGTATGAAATATACCAGAGAGAACTTTCAGGATTCTGCATGGTGGTGATTTCTTTCTCTTATAGAATGATTAATATAAAAAATTTATACATAAAAAACAAGGTAAATTTTACCAAAGAAAAGAATATCTAAATAACGTTAAAAGATTAAAAAAAAAACAGTAGTGATGCCAGATGCTTGTAAAAATAAAAATCATGATGTACATTATTATCTTTTTTATTATTGAAAGAAGTTATTGTGTACACCACATTGTACTCTGAGATATACTTAGTTTCCATTGAAATTGTATGTCAGTGGCCTTGACCCTGATTGTCAATGCCTGGCTTCTGAGTTCAAACACTTGCTCATATGTCCTTTTCATCTATTATCTGTCTCCTATTGTGTAGCTCACATTAATAATTAGTTCCATAATGGAGGTAATAGTTTTATTTTGATCAAGCAATCTCTCATTCTCTTATGCCATACCAAATCTATTGTGAAATTTTAGTTTACTAAGTTATGCTATTTTTATTTAAAAATGAATTTATCCACTGTAACCTTCCACTCCAATGTGGGTTACACTGAGAAGTAAGGAAATATTCCATTGGAGTATTCAGCAACTCTATAATAAAAATAGCTGAGGAAGCTTTCTCAGATGCTGAAATTAAATAATATTTGATCATATTTTCAGGATTAAGATTTATTGAATGCTTCATACATGCCAAAAATGACTTGAAGAAGGGAGACAACTTATATAATTTCTCACAACTCTACAAATTAGAAATTAATGTGCTCTGCAGAGGAGGAATCCAGCCACAGACAGTTAAAATAACTTGCCCAGGGCATCCTGCTAGAAAGTGGTGGATTCTGAATCCAAAACCAGGCTCTCAGGCAACATAACCTGTACTCCTGCTTCTGACCACTTGGAATATGTCCTCCTATTTAAATAATAGTAACTTTTCCTTAAAAAAAAATAACAAGGATGATTTTATAAACCAATGTAGAAAAAAATGATAATGTACAGTGGATTTGTCATTCATTTCACAAGATTTTTACATCTGCAAAATTCTCACATATGGCACTCTCAAAAACCTCGATTATCTATACCAACTCCTACCCTATTACACCTCAATTAAAAGCACAGATCACAAACATTAATAGTTTAGGCCTGTATGGAGCTGTCTCAGCTAAGAGTAGAAAAAAAAGATGTTTCCAAATAATTCTATTACATTCCTGTTCACACATATACAAAAAAGTTTTAAAAAATGAATAAAGCATACAATGTACAAGTATGTGCTATTTCTAGGTGTAACCATGAGAGCAAGGTAACATAGACTAAAGTTTGGGGAAAAAAATAACCCTACTGTTTTCTAATTTCCATCCCCTCAAGTAATCTAATTCCAGCCTAACATCATCCATCTATAAAGMCCAGCTCAATTCAAAAGCTAACAGTATCATTCAAAAGTATGGAAGTAAACATCCCCAGCACAAGAAAGACTTATTTTTCATCTGAGCATTTCCATTCCCTGATCTTGATTTTTCAAGGTTTGCTATTTGTTAACTGGTGGTACGAATATGACATAGTTTAGATGGATCCATCCATTTCCTTTTGTTCCAGAGAAAACCATGCTCGTGGGCCACGTGAATGATACAACACCTCCTGCTTCAGTTCAAGCCTTGTTGACCCTCATGCCACTTCAGCAGTGACAGGAAGGGAGCCACCCCAAAGGAGATGCTGGTTCTCCCTGGGCTTTTACTTGTATCACCCTCATTTTTTTCTGTGACATGGTACCATGTGGTCCTGTGAGCCCTGATCTCACAAGACATGCCTTTTTAAATAAACAAAGGGAATAAAATAGTTCAGGAAGATGAAAAGGAGAAGAGGGGGAAAAAACAAACAAGTGAACAGAAACCCCTTTGACCTGACATTATGGAGAAAAAAAAAAAAAAAGACACTAAGATGATAAAAAAAAATAGTGTCATGGTTTACATGTGGGATTTGGATGGAATCTAGGGCTGTGTTTTAATTCAGAACTCACCATCTCAAAACCACTTCTTTTCATCCGCCTGCAGGACTTGAGGTAAGTACGTATACGTTTTCTGGCACGCTCTTGGTACTCAGGGAATTGTCGCCTGCATGAGTCAATGATAGCCTGGATCTTTTCTTTGGGCTGCTTAGAGATTGGGACCATTCGGTCCAAGTTTTCATCTACAAACAGCCTGACAAACATCTGTTGGCAAGAGGGAGACAGAGGAGAAGGGTTTGGAGGGCTGCTCTCTTCTGTTCCTAGCTTCCTGTCTTGATTACCGATAGGAAAATATTCTTTTCTGGTTTATGCACTGGAGAACTTTGCAATGGAAAGCCAGAAATTTTAAGCAAACACTCTTTAAAAGATTTTTTTTTTCTAAATGGTTGGAAATTTTTAAAAACCGAAAGAGAGAAAGAGAGAAAGGCAGACAGACARACAGACAGAAAAGAATAGACTATTATGTAGGAAAAAAAAAATCAGGAAATAACAGTAGACTGTGACAGTTGAGCACCCCATTAAATTCTCTATTAACAATAAATATGACTGTTCCTACGCTGCACAGTGGACTAATCTCTGAAAACAAACAATTGACTCTTGTCATGCATAATTAGATAAACTAGGAAAGGAAAAGAGGTCACAGGACGGACAGGCGTACTCAGCCAAGGACGAAGCAGGGGTCCCCCTTGGTCCACTGGGTAAACATGCATACTCACACAACACAATTCCAGTTTTTCAGCTCACATTTGGCTTTAAAAATTCTAAACAAAACACAGCAATTCTGGTGTCTGGTTGGCAAAGAGTGTTTCCTGTACTTTTTAAAATCCTTCTGCAAATTAAACAAACACGTCTCTAAAATATCCACATTGACCAACAGGCAACACCACGAAAGTGAAATAGGAAAAAAAAAAAAAATCAAACCACACTGGGAGCGTGGCAGGACTCACATTAAAAGCTTTCAGCCGTTCTGCTTCGACACCATCCGTCTCGTTAACTTTCTCAGAATCATCATGGTCATCGTGATCGTCTTCATCCTCTTCCCCCCTGTTGAGTGACAGGTCCTCGGCGCCTCGGTCTACACTCTCATTTTTGCCAGACTCATAGCTTGAGTAACTATGGGCAGGAGACTGAAAAGAAAGGGTGACACTGCTGCTTATAAATTCATTGGACACGTTTACGAATTTTATGTTTTATTTTTAATTCTGCTGTGGCTCAAAAAAATCATGTCTTGGCGTTGATAGCACCAGCCCTGTGGCTATTTTAATTTAAATCACAATTAACTCAAATGAAAGTAAAAATGCATTTTCCTCCTCTTGCTAGTCATGTTTTAAGGGCTCAATAGCCACATGGAACATTTCCATCATCGCAGAAAGTTTTATTGAACTTTGCTCTTTTCAAGAGCAATTACTGTTTCCAATCAATATTTATATTCCCCCAAAGATGCAATCTGTAATTAATTTTACAGGAGAATCATTAAATCACATGTTATTCGAAGTAGATCTGGCCTCAGAGCATAGTCAGTCTAATTGTGTTAGTATTCTTTGAACGGATAGTGATATTAGAAATACTAATTATAAGATGCTTTAAAAGCAGTCTATAAGTTTTCTGTGATTCTCAAAAGGGCATTTGATTTTGATTTAGAAAAAGAAAATCATTTTTCTTTCTAATTGTTAAATTTAGTGCTTCTGTATCCCAACACTATATCATATAACGAATTCAAAGCAAGATCAATTAAATAATAGCTCAGAAAATTCAATGTAAAAATCATTAAACATCTGAAATTTAAAAATATTTCAACATTTCTTTTTACATATAAATAGTTAATGGCTTTCGTGGAAGTTTAATGATAAGAATTTATATATGTTTCTCTATATAAATGATACCATTTAATAGTACGTAAACTGACTTTGATGGCTTTTTATTTGGGGATTATACATACTCAAGATACTCCATATTTCCTTTTAAAACCTCTGAGTGAGTTTGGGAGAAGTGACCTGGAAGTAAAGGGAATCCAGGTGTATGGGTGTGGTAAGGAACTTAATTTAGCAGTGTACAGCATAACAATACACTGTTTTATATTACCTCTTTGAGACCATGTTAATCAACAACTATCAAAGCATATTGTAGGTACCTTTGATAAGATGCTAAACTAAGATGTAAGATAATTTAAAGAGAAGTATGATGAATTTATTTTTATTGATTGATGTAAAACTGTTTTATGAGATATTAAATAATGAAGAAATTGTGTGAGACACAGAAAAGAAATAAACGTAGGAGCAGGGTACATCTAGACTGTTGGCTCCCTTAATTTTCACAGCAACCCAGTGCAGAGATATCATCTTCCCAGTTCTACAGATAAGGAAATTGCTTCAGAAAGGCTGAATAAACTCTTCTCATTCGGATAATGATGAAACCACTATATGAATCTACTTCTGCCTGAAGCCAAGAGTGGTGGAATAAGAAGTTTATACAAATTACACTTTTTTGGTAAGTATGTGGACGTGTGTGTGTGTGTGTGTGTGTGTGTGTGTGTGTGTAATTGAAGGAAGAATACAAAATATTTACAGGTTAATGTACATGTTGATATGAAAACAAAATGATTTTAAGTGAATTCACCTTCAACTATTACTCCTCCTAAATAAGCTAGATGCATTATTTCTATTTTCTTTTACAACAGTAGCCTGCAATTTTTTTGATTCTTAAGTAAGAAGCATTATCACTTGCTGTAAAATTTCCACAGATCATATGATATAGTTAAATAATTTATTTTTACTGTACCATGTTGTTTCAATTAGAGAAAAGATACACTTATCAAACAGATAATGAGGTTTCCTTTTATTTTTACCTTTTACATTTTTATTTAGTGTTATATATAATAGTGACTTCATTTTGACATATTCATAAATAAGTGTAATATAATTTATTCCATTTCAATCCCCAATACTTCCCTCCTTTTACTCTTCTCCTATCCTTCACCTCCCTCCTCCTTCCTACTGAGCCCCTTCCTCTACTCTACTGTTTGAATAGGTTTTCTTTCCTTTTTTTTTTTTTCTTTCTTTGTTTTGGTACCAGGGATTGAACCCAGGGAATTTAACCACTAAGTCACATCCTCAGATAATTTTTAAAAATTTGACACTGGGTCTCAGTAAGTTGTTGAATCTGTCTTTGAACTTGCGAGATTCTCCTGCCTCAGCTTCCCAAAAGGCTGGAATTATAGGTGTGCATCACCACACCTGGTTGAACAGGTTTCCTTAAAGAAATGTCTATAGAAGCAAATAGTGAATAGATTTTTTTCAATTTGTGGAATTAACATAATCTGGCATAAAACACGTTTTAATAATAAAATATATTTAAGAGAATAAACTCAATGAATGATAATAATGATAAACTTTTAAGACTAACATTAAAGCAACAGAATTTCTAAAAAAAAAAAAAAACCTTTATTTATATGTCAATCATTTTTCCCCCCTCAAGAAACTTTTATTGAGAATGATCATACATTTGGTATCATGCTAAGATAGTATGCCACAGAGCGAAATTTATTCAACAATTATTTATTGGACATCTATTCTGTGCCAGGCATTATTCTAAGCCTTCTACATATATAATTTATCTCACTAAAAATATATTGGCTAAGTAACTTCCCTAATGTCACACAGCTAGTAAATGAAATCAGGATTTGAACTCATGCAGTTTGACTCTAAATGTATTATCTTAAACCTATWCTTTTCTTTGTCTAGACAATGACTGCTTATGAGGCTATTGTTAGAGTATCAGTAGAAATCCATTCCTAAGACTCTGTATTTCTTGACAACAACTTGTAAAATAGAAGAACCTTTGGGATAAGATAYGCTAAACCAATTCTATCATCTAAATGTTAACTATAAGTATGTTTTACAGATATTCATTAAATACATCCTGAGAAACTCTAAAAGAAGTTATGTATTTTGTATGGATTGGAGGCAATATTGCATCCAGATTTAACATCCACATAACTGACCATCACAGCAGAACTGGTATAAATATTTTAGTATATATATTATAAATGATTTTGAATTACATGGCTGCTAATAATAATAAAACAATGGTGTATATCATGGTAAACTTTATGTATCAACCTGACTGGATCACAGACTGCCTGGATATTTGATTAAAGATTATATCTAGGTGTGTCTGTGTGGAGGTTTCTGAATAAGATTGGCATTTGAATTTGTGGACAGTAAAGCAGACTGACTTCCCCAATGTGAATGGATAATATCCAATCTTTTGAGTCAAGAACAGAGCAAAATGCAGAAGAGGAAGTCAAAATTCATCCATTCTGCTTGCTTGAGCTGAGACACACCAAGATCTCTACATTATCACACCATTGGCTGCTCTAGTTGTAGGGTCTTGAGACTGAGACTAAACTATTCCACTGGCAGATCATGGGGCTTCTCAATCTTAACTACATCTCTCACTCTGTAAACTCCTACTYTTACTGGTTCTGACTAATATAATATATTGTCTAAAATATAAAGCATCTAATTAAAGATCAAAAAATTTAATTTACAGAGCTAGTTTCAGACACTGAGCAAAGCAGTAGAGAAGTTAAGCAGGGTTCATCATTCATGGCTAGTGATATAGAATTTCATGGGTTTCACAGTAAGGGTCCATGGGAGTTAAAAGGAACGAGAGGTTGAATTTCAAAACCAGAGTGGGTTGCAAGAGGGGAAAGAAAAATGTGCAAGAGGAAGCAAATGCCAATCGAGACACTTTCACAGACATAGATCATAGCATCAGGGTGTCAAGACCAAGAGGCTTTGTTGTGATTTTTTTTGTTGTTGCTAGCCAAATATCTTTGCCTTTAGAAACAGCTTCTGCTAGACCAGATGAAAACTGTCAACCCTATGGTACAACTTTCTCTTTGCAAGGCATGTGTTTTAACTTTGTCTCTAGATGAAGAGAGCTTCTCTGAGGCTGAGATCAAGCTGAATCCACAAAGATAAGTAGTACAAAAGAGTCCCAAGGACATCTTTGCACCCAGATACAACAGTTGCTAAAGTTCAGCCCTTGACCCTTTAGCTGTGTGATATTATACATCTTCCATCTACTCAACCCCACTTTTATATATTTATTTATTTATTTATTTATTTATTTATTTTTGCTTAAATTCTAAGTTTCCTTTACCTTTGGGTCTAGAGTGGGACAGAAATCAATCATTATAAGATCAGATTAACAATATATATTTCACACATGACAATGAAAATAAAAAGATGATAGCATTTCTATAAACAGCAATATCAAACCTCAAATCTATCAACAAAAGAAAGCCCTTATGAATGACCTCTACAATGAGAAATTTTAAATAGGCAGYATTTTAAATGTCTCTGTGAAATACTAAAATATAAAACACATAGTATAAAGATCACACTAAAATATTACAACTGTATAATCAGAAGAGGCATAATAAAACTAGAACAGATCACTGACCTTAAAAATGAAGTCAAGKTTTACAAATCATCATATTTTTACAGCTCAAATCATTAACAAGGTGGAATAATCCAATAAAATATAAGGGATACATTTGGAAAGTTTTATAGCTTTTAAAATATAAATATATTAAGTATGCTWTTAAATGGCAATGGGCAATATTTGAAAAATGTTGTAATACTCATCTGAATTCAAACATGGTGTCTAATTCATTTTTTCTATATGCCAATGTAGTTGTCTGCTGTATATAAAACTACTTGGAACCAGAAAGGATTTATGGCCCTGGTGACTCAAGGTAAAGAAAGCCCAATTTGCAGATCTATGAATAATCAGGATATAAATCTGAAACACGTTCAATTTTTTTAACCACTATAATATAAACTGAAATTGAATTCTACTTTTCAAGTGGAATAACATTCTTTTCCTTTCTTATTGATTAAGATCTACTCTTTAAAACAAATCAGATTAAACTCATTGTATACAAAATTTCCAGTTTCTGCCAAGTAGTATGGCCCAAGACTGTAATCCCAGCAACTCTGGAGACTGCAGCAAGAGAATCATGAGTTAAAGTTTACAGCAAGGAGTTTGCCTTGGGTCTCAGATGAGACTTTGGATTAGAACTTTTGGGCAGTACTGAAACTGTTAAGACCATGGGACT